TCAGTGTACTCAGGAGTGTTCACACAGATCTTTAAAGAGGAGAAACAACTGTACCAGAACAAGGTGTTCTGCTTTGTTCATCTCAGTGTTCAGGAGTTTCTGGCTGCTCTTCATGTCCATCTGACCTTCATCAACTCTGGACTCAATCTGCTGGAAGAACAACAAACAACCTCCATGTTGTTTAAACCATCTTTCCATCAAGGTGCTGTGAACAAGGCCTTAGAGAGTCCAAATGGATACCTGGACTTGTTCCTCCGCTTCCTCCTGGGTCTTTCACTGCAGACCAATCAGACTCTCCTACAAGGTCTGCTGACACAGACAGGAAGTAGCTCACAGACCAATCAGGAAACAGTCCAGTACATCAAGGAGAAGCTCAGTGAGAATCTGTCTGCAGAGAAAAGCATCAATCTGTTTCACTGTCTGATTGAACTGAATGATCGTTCTCTAGTAGAGGAGATCCAACAATACAGGACTTCAGGACGTCTCTCCACAGGTAAACTGTCTTCTGCTCAGTGCTCAGCTCTGACCTTCATGTTACTGTCATCAGAAAAAGATCTGGATGAGTTTGACTTTAAGAAATACTCTGCTTCAGAGGAGGCTCTTCTGAGAATGCTGCCAGTGGTCAAAGCCTCCAACAAAGCTCTGTAAGTAAACATGAACTTATCGCTTAAACTCATCGATTAAAATCTTATAATCAATACAAATCCTAAAACCATGGAAAAATAAATCAGAAATGCTGAGTTTAAAGTACAGTTAAAAAACATAAAAAATAGTGAATTAAATGATCATCACTCACTCAGTAAATGTGTCAGCATTTCTGACACATTTTTGTCTGTAACTCTTATCAAAGTACAATCCAGAACCAGCCAATAAGAACATGAGCTCTGATCCTTCAGCCCCTCTGACAGATTTATTATCCTCAGCTTGTTCACGTCTCCAACTCCAGCAGTTTGTTTTTTTTTATCTCACTTTCAGTGCACACTCTCCCTTTTGTATTATAAATCTCTGCTGTGACTGTCCTGTTTTCATCCAATATGGAGGGAAAACCTTGGGGTTCATAACTGAAGTTACCACTCAGGTCTTGTTTCTTGACAGTATTCATATCTAACTGTAAGGCTTCCATAACCAGTGTTCCCACAGAATTACTGTGGGTTCTCTCCGTGTCCTCTACAGTTTCCTCCCAATGTCCAGAGACATACAGTTAGGTTACCTGGTGATCTAAACTCCATGCAGGTGTGAGTGAGAGTGGTTGTCTGTCCCTGTGTGGGCTTAGTGGAAGAGACTGGATGGATCTCTGCTTTGTCTTTGATATTTCCTGACAGCAAATATTCTCCATGAAATCTGCATTTCAGCTCATCTCCTTTATACGCACCTTTTAACAGGAAGAGTTTTATACAGCTAGTGTTTAAAATCCAGTGTTACTCACAGTACGCAGGTAATGAGCATAATAATTACTGAATTAGTAATATTTTCTAAAATAATTGTGTTAGTTAATACTGTATGATAGTGTACACAGAATTATTAGCTCAGTAGGTAGAGTGGTCGCCCCATGATCGTAAGGTTGGGAGTCGAATCCACCAAATAGCTACCCTGAGGTTCCCCTGAGCAAGGTACCATCAAGGTACCAATAGTGGGTAATGGATTGGTAGCACTCATAGTCTCATAGGTTTAAAATAAATATAAAAAAAGGTTCAACATAAACAAATTTCATTTGATCACATATATTGTTTGGTTTTTTTTGTTTTGTTTCCCCTTGTCTCTCAGACTGAGCAGCTGTAATGTCTCAGAGGAAGGCTGTGAAAATTTGTTGTCAGTGGTCAGCTCCCAGTCCTGTGGTCTGAGAGAGCTGGACCTGAGTACCAACAGCCTGAAGGCTTCAGCTGTAAGGCTTCTGTCTGCTGCAGTGGAGAGTCCACACGCCAAACTGAATATTCTGAGGTCAGATCTATTTGTGTTCTGTTTAGTTCTGTTTGTTTATATGTTTGTTTTTGTTTCTAACAACTGACAAAAATAATTAACAATATAACCAGTAAAGGTAAAATGTATCAAGTTATCCTTGTTTCATAGCATTTTTATTCATTTCTAAGCTAAAGTGAAGTTTTACTAACCTGCTCAGCACAACACAATAAGCTATTGCGCCATGATTGCACTTTAACAACAATCTTTATTCATGTTTTTATCTTCAGACTTAACATCTGTGAACTCTCAGAGGAAAACTGTGAAGCTCTGTCCTCAGTTCTCAGCTCACAGTCCTCTAGTCTGACAGAGCTGGACCTGAGTATCAGAAAGCTGCAGGATTCAGGAGTGAAGCTTCTGTCTGCTGGACTACAACGTTTAAACTGTAAACTGAATACTCTGAGGTCAGATCAGAAAACAGTTTGTTTTTAGAATTATTAATTAAAGTTCATCCATATGATGTTGTATCTTAGTATGTTTATGTTTCCTTTAAAAATAGAAAGTCAAGATTTAATGTTGTGAAATGTATTAACAAACTCTACATGAGTATTTGTTGTATAGACTGTCTTTATTTTTCAGACTGAGTGGCTGTAACCTGTCAGAGAGAAGCTGTGAAGCTCTGTCCTCAGTCCTCAGCTCCCAGTCCTCCAGTCTGAGAGAGCTGGACCTGAGTAACTCTGACCTGCAGGATTCAGGAGTGAAGCTTCTGTCTGCTGGACTAAAGAGTTCACAGTGTGCAGTGGAAACTCTCAGGTCAGGATTCAAACTTTTCCACAGATGATCATTTGAAAGGTGATTTATATTATTTTATAAACAGGTGAACTTTTATTTACATTTGAGTGGATAATTGGACCCTGAATTACTTTTAAAAGTTGTTATAGTCATGTCTTTGTTTATTTAAAAAAATACTTCATGTACTGCCTAATATAAAGATTTAGGCTCCTTTGAGCCCATGATATATATATTTGATTTCTTTAGGAATAAAATTAGGAGGATATTGGCGACTACTGATTGGTTCGCTGTTTGCTTTTTATTCACAGTACTTACTTAATTTTAAAGGCTGATTTCTCAAAATGCGATGTTTATCTTCTCTTCTACAACACTGGGAGCCACCAAATCTTCTTGCTTGATTTATTCATTACAGTTTGATTTAAAGAATATTAGACTCGTAACATAATAAATATATTTATTTCACTTCTTCTTGAGAGAAAGAAAGGGATGACTGGGTGAGCTCCAGTGGTTCATCCCAGCAGAGAGAGTGGCACACTGGGCTGCAAGTGATCACAGTGGTAATGGCCATAGTTTGATAAAACAGGCAGTCTTACCCAGTAGAAAATACAGGGTTCTGGAGCCGATGTGGGGGAGGGGACTTGCCCGGTACTAACTACCTACTACTAACTCCCTCATCCAGATGTCTTCCCTACGAACCCTGATAAGAAGTAACCACAGTAGCCTTATAGGTCAGATCAGTTTCACCTGTTAAAGGTAGCTCCAATATTAATGGTGTCACTTGTTATTTCTGGGACGAATTTCGTAGCCTGAACAGCTGCTTAAAGGAAGGGTTGTTTTTATTATTATTTAATTATTAAGTCCGGGGCAACCTGCAAGAGCTGTTTGCACAAAGCTGTATGCTGCACTCTTGGTGGCGCTGTCACTTGGTGTTCGCTCGCTCTGCGGTAGAGTATCACTTCCTGTTCCTGCTCAAACACAGTGGTGTTTCTGAGT